GAAAGAGGAGAAAGAAATCCTACATTCAAAAGAGCACCACCAGCAGTGGCTTCAGCTTGCATGTCTCAGCTGTGTAGTATATTGAGCCTAATTTGGGTGTGATCCACTTTGGGGCCAGTTTATTCTTTGATATGAATGTTTTTATTTTTAAACGCATGTCTTTTTCCCTTTTTCTTTAAAATGCTATTGAAATTTTAAAGAATCAAGAAGAAAAAAATGCGCCTGTAATCTCATCCTCGTAACAAAACTGCTGTTAAGCTTTTGCTACACTTCCAGCCAAATCTTTCTTCTGTAATTATTTTTGTGTGTCTGGAATTAGAAAATGGCTGTTTTTGTGAAATGCCTGCTTCTGTGAAATGTCTTTTAGTGAGTCCTTGGAAAGTTGGCTGAAGGACAAATACTGGATGATATCACAGCGCATCAGCTAAATTGTCACTCCAGTCTGAAAAGGAACTTTGTGTTGCATGCTGCTTTTTTCTCAGTGGGTGACTAATATTTGTAGAGCATTACTATTAAATAAGTGAATGATTTTTAAAATGATGCTGAAGATGAGGATGATGGGAGACTTCTGAAAAAACTCCTCTGTGCTTTCCAGAAATTGTCTTGATTTGTGGCTAGAAGTTATCCGCTGCTGCTTTCACATATACATTCTTTTTTTCCTTCCATTTCCACTTAAATGAATCCTTTTCTTGTATCAGATATATTTTCTATGGCAGAATAATAAGCCGTCTTCAGTCTTCATTCTGATTGACAGATATACAAGTCAGCTATGTGGGAATAAAAATGGTGTCAGCTAAGATGGGAATGGCCTGAATTTTCATTGGAGAGAACTTTTTTGGAAGAATGAAGTGGTTCTGTTTTATTTTGCTTGAATCAAGTAAATTCCAATACATTAAAGTCACTTGTACTTTTCATATAGTTCATACTATTAGGATAAACTTACTTGAGATTTTCTTTGTGACTCACTGTGTAATGAAATTTCGCCAGTCTATTTTGATAAAGCTAGGGGAAAAAATTAAGTTAATGGATATTTCACTAAATGAGCAGTACTTCTCAGGAATGTGTATAGGAGAGAAGGAGGTCATATAAATTGGGATGCATTCTCAGGAGTTTTTTTTTTTTTTGCGGTACGCGGGCCTCTCACTGTTGCCTCTCCTGTTGCGGAGCACAGGCTCCGGACCCGCAGGCTCAGCGGCCGTGGCTCACGGGCCCAGCCGCTCCGCGGCATGTGGGATCTTCGAACCCGTGTCCCCTGCATTTGCAGGCAGATTCTCAACCACTACGCCACCAGGGAAGCCCCTCTCAGGAGTATTTTTAATTTCATATACCATGTGTTAGAAAGCTTAGATGGTCTTTATCATCCTTGTTATTTAATCCTGGCAGATGAATTTTTCTTCTCTCTTTTGTAAAAATACATCTATCTTATAATAATAACAATAAGAATAGACCCATAGCTATATTCTTAGTTGTGTGCCTCTGTCCCTTTCACTGTTATCTTTCTCTCAGGGTGTCATCGCTGTTTTGTTCATCAGAGTATATCTTTGGCACCTCCCATAGTACCTACCTGGCAATAGCAGGCCCTCAGAATTTGTTGCATAGAGGGTGTTGGTTATTGCTAATTGCAGAATAATAAACCTTCATTTGTTTTTTATTTTTTGTGTTTTTTTTTGATGTGGTAATGGTTTAAGTGGAATTGTTTCTTGAATTACATTAAAAGCCAGCTTACCCTTGTAGCTTTAAGGCTCTATATTAAAATTTCTTGAATATGTGCTCTCAAAGTTTTAGGCTGAATGACTTTTCTGAAATGTTTTTGACTTTCAAATGGAAATAGATTTTAGAAATAGCTGTAGTAACTTTAACCTGTTTAGTAGAATTACTGCTCTTTGCAGTTTTCTGAGGCTAATATGGTAATACATTCTGTGTTTAGCGTGGTAAAAAGAGTTAGGAGGCTTAGTAATTAGTATAAATTTAAATATTCTAAAATTTATTGAAATAAATTGATAGTGGAGGACAAAGTGGTGACTAATTTATTTAATTTATACATAAATATATAAATATAAATATTATTTCTCTTTGTTAAAAGTGTAAATGAGCATTAAAAGTGCATAAAGAGAAGCATCCTAAATTATTGTTTCTTTTTATTTCAAGGCTGAAAACAGTGAAGTCACTTTTCACAGTTAAAAGACTATTAAGACAAGATGGGGACTCCTGGTTCTGGAAGGAAAAGGACACCTGTGAAAGACCGATTTTCTGCAGAAGATGAAGCTTTGAGTAGCATTGCCAGAGAGGTATGTCTGGAAGACCCCTCTCAACACTGAGTTGTACAGATGAGAATGTTATAAAAATTCTGGGTGGGGGGTTGGAGGTATATACAGACATTCATTCATTAAGCTAGTTTCAGAATGTTTACTATAAATAAGATGTTAAATATGCCCTCTAAAATACTGTATTAGAGTAAAATACAGTTACTGTCTCTTTACTTGAATATTTATTTAACTCATTTAAAATTAATTTTTCATTTTATTTTTGTGGATTAGTTGACTTCCAGGTATTTGTCCTGATGTTTTGAAATTTATAATTAATCTTCATTATTGAAACTTAAGGTAATTAGAATGTTGAAGATATGATAACTATATTACAAAAATGCTCATTGGGCTCTACAGTTAATATATTCCAGGAAGCACTGTATAAATGTTAACAGAAATAATCCTTATTTGGTGTCTGCTCAGATTCAGTGTCTTAGCTGTTTTTTGAATAATTGCAGTGGAATTTTTATGTCTAACTTCTAGCTAGTAATAGAGCTTCTGGAGCATTTTTGTTTTGGTTTGTTGACAACTGAGAAAAAAGGAAAGGGGTGTCACCTATCAAATCTCTGGCAGCATTTCCTGTTGCATATTGAAAATTTAAGATAACTCCCAGCTGTGATTTCTTAGTGAGGAGCCAACTTTGTTTCAGCCTCTTATCTGCAGCTGCAGACCTGACCATATACTAACCTGGTACAAGAATTGCTTAGAGCATTTTAAAATTGTATTCTTTGGGTGAGAATTATTCCCTCATCACTTCCTCTTTGTTATTCTTAGTAAATAACTCATTTAGGACTAGTGCTGTTTCCTTTTGACATATTACACAGTCTTTTTTTGGATCCAGCTCACTGTTACGTTTTTCCTTTTATAAGCTACTCAGCTTTTGAATTAGAAGTCAAATTTTGTAGCAGGATATTTGAAGCAGAGGAAAGTTATCTAAAAACTGATGACAAAACTGTGATAATATTTTAACAAAATTACTTTAAAAAAACTGAGATATTTTTAGATAAAAAGGTAAAAGATATTTTAAAATGAAGTAGTGGATGACACTTTACAGTGGTCTTAAGTATTTACCCGAATGAAGTATTTTGGAAGCCACGTAGTTTTAGTTGAAAGTTGAAACTACTCAAAATGTTTGCTTCCAAAATTGGAGGGATTCACATACCCAGATTTCTATAAGGGGAGAAAATGCCAGTATGTTTTAGGCTCTTTTTGTACTGTCACTGGGTACTTGAACTCTTTTTTTGGATGTGATGCTTCATTTACAAAATTGGGTAGCATTCTAGCATCCAACACTTGAGTGCTTACTATGTGACAAATACTATTTAAGCATTTTAAATGAATTAGTTTATTTACTCTCCACAAAATTCTGAAATGGGTTCTATTATATTCTCCATTTTACAGATGAAGAAATCATTGCATAGAAAAGATAAGTAACTTCCCTAAGGTCACACAGCTAAGAAATAGCTGAGCTTGGATTCAAACCCATAGTCTCACTGTGCTGGGCTGTTTTCAGTCTTCTCCATCTCCTCCATTAATATTTTGTTTTTCTGTAGCTTTTCATGATTTTAAAAGCACTTTCACATCTTGATTCTCACAATAACCTTATGAGTTAGGTAGGATAGGCATTGTTATTAGCCTTATTTACAGATGAGGAAACAGATGAAGCTGAGAGATTAATGTCTGGAAGGTATCAGAACTGGGACTCACATTCAGCTTTTAAAGCCATTGTTTATTTTTCTGTATCATACTGCTTCCAGAAGAGCTGGACTTTTGGAGAGTTATAAGCGTGGCTTTGAATTCTGGCTGTACTAGTTGCTGGTTGAGTAATCTTGTTAAGTAACTACTCTGGACTTCAGTTTCCTCATCTGTAATATGGGAATACTATGGGCCTCCTGTATTATAGGGCTGCTGTGACAATTAAAGTAAATAGTGCATGTAAACTTTACCATAGTGTTAGACTTCCAGTAGGCTATTTTGTTGCTTATTAATAAGTTGAAATAGAAAGTAAGAATAGAAGTAAAATAGTCTTCTTTTATAAAAAATATATTTATTAAGATAGGTGTTCTGAAACGTGGTTGATCATCTGAATCTCCCAGGTTGCTTTTTCAATGTACAGATTCCCAGGTGTTACCCCATACTTGCTAAATCTGAATCTATGAGGTTGAGCTTATAAATCTGTATTTAAATACACACACACACTCCCAGGTGTTACCCCATACTTGCTAAATCTGAATCTATGAGGTTGAGCTTATAAATCTGTATTTAAATACACAAACACACACACACACACACACACACACACACAATTACCTTAAGTTAGGAATAAAAACTAACAACCCCCATAACAATTAAAAAGGACAAATAGCTTAATCTTTTTTTTTCAGTTAAATCTAAGAGTTTAATTTGTCTTTTCCTCACTTCAGATTGTTTTTTGAGGTAGACAGGGTATACCATAAATAAAGAAAAATAGCCTCTTTTTCCTCCTGCTTACCGTCTGCTAAAGTATGCATGCTTCTCAGTTGGCCCCAAATGAGGCAACTAGAGGGAATGAAGAGCAAAAGAAACAAAAGGCATGAATATGTTCTGCAAGCTGGATAATTTGCATGCTAAAATGTGGAACCGAGTACACCTTAAAAATTGTTGTAAAATACTCATAAAATTTCCCACTTTAGCCATTTTTAAGTGTACGGTTCTGTGGACTTAAGTACAGTCACATTGTTGGGCAACCATCATCACCATCCATCTCCAGAATTCTTCTTATCTTGTAAAACCTGTTTGCATTTTTAAAAGATGTCGAAATGTTTGAAGATTGCTCCATGAAGGCAGGAATGTGGATGGATCTAGAAGTCCCGCTGTGTCTATAATAGGCATGTTGCTGCTTTGCTGGGTGAGCATGTGTGTCACAACTCTGTGAAGACCTCATAAGAGCAGGTGTTGGAGGAGGTCAGCAGCAGGTTCTCTAGGGTATCAGAAGGCCAATCTGGATGCTTACCTTTCTCGCTTGTTTGACTTTGATTGTCCCACAGGTTTGGGGGAAATGCAGTTGGAGAGTTGACTTTCAGTGAAAATTACCCGAAAGCACAGAGTGTATCAAATGGAGACCCTTAGGCAGCTAGCCTCGCAAAAGGAGAAAGATAGGGATGGATGAAAGCCAGTTATGCCGCCTTACCACGGTCAGTTTGGTGAGTGTTATGAAGAGTGTTCCTATGAGAAGTAGAAGCCTCTTGGAGGGTTTGCAAGCAGTCTTACTATGGCCTCACTGAAGCCTGGAATATTCCTCCGTTCCTTGTTGTAGAGCTGAAATTATGAAGAAAACATGTTTTCTGTACATCTCTTCAAATGGAGGTCATCAGAACATTGCTTATTTTTGAAGCTGATGATCTGGAAGCCCTTGCAGTTCTAAAATTCTGTGATCTCTTTTGAGATTCAGGACCCAAAGAAAATTTATACTCATAACGCACAACTCTCTTGAATCTAAAGAATCAGTGAGAGGCATAGAAACCGATCATCTTTTATAGGAGTTAGAGTCTAGTAAGTGGAATGTTTGGAGACTTTTACGTTGAGCAGAATTTACGTGTATACATATTTGCTGTGCAAACCTACTTGTAATAATAAGGAAGAAAAAGAAACTATGGCTGTTTAACATTTGTAGCTGCTAGAACTTGGATTTCATTTTTTTAAATAACTATTGAGATATAATTCACATAACATATAGTTCACTCATTTGAAGCATACCATTCAGTGGTTTTTACATGATTCACTTTTAATTTGTGGTTAAAATATATATAAGAAAATTTGCTATTTTAACCATTTTTAAGTCTACAATTCATTGGCATTAATTACATTAACAATGTTTTATAACCAGCACCACTGTCTATTTCAAAAATCTTTCATCACCCCAGACAGAAATTCTGTAACCATTAAGTAGTAACTCCATTGCCCCCTCTTTTAGCCCCTGGTAACCTCTAATCTACTTTATGTCCCTATGAATTTGTCTAATTCTAGATACTTCATATAACTGGAATTATACAATATTTGTCCTTTTTGTGTCTGGCTTTTTTCACTTAGCATAATGTCTTCAAGATTCATCCGTGTTGTAGCATGTGTCCGAACTTCATTCCTCTTTTTTTTTCCTTGTAAATAACTTAATTCCTTCTTTTATAGCTGAATGATGTACCATTGTATGTATATATTACACTTTGTTTATCCATTTATTTATTGATGGACCCTTGGTTGGATTTTATTATTTTGCTGCTTAAAGAGGTAAATTCCAGGCATCTGGAATGATGAGTGGTGAGAAACAGAAGTTTGTGGGTTTGATTATAGATTAGCAGCCTGAGAAGGATACAAAAGGAAGAATTGTGCTTAGTTTAAAAGATACTGTCCAGAGGGCTTCCCTGGTGGCGCAGTGGTTGAGAGTCTGCCTGCCGATGCAGGGGACACGGGTTTGTGCCCCGGTCCGGGAATATCCCACGTGCTGCGGAGCAGCACGGGCTGGGCCCGTGCACCATTGGCCGCTGAGCCTGTGCGTCCGGAGCCTGTGCTCTGCAATGGGAGAGGCCACAACAGTGAGAGGCCCGCGTACCGCAAAAAAATAAATAAATAAAAAAGATACTGTCCAGTGTTATTGTTTTATGGAATAATAATCATAATAGCTTGATAGAGCTAATGATTTTCTCATAGTTATTTAGCTATTTTATTTGAGTATTCATTTTTAGGCCATGTCGAACTAAGGATAAAAAACTCTTGGCAAGGATAGCGGTTTTTTAAAATGCAAAGAATTACCATAATCAATAATAATTATGGGTAATACCATCTTTCATTTAAGAATAAAGTAGTTTTGGGGGCTTCCCCGGTGGTCCAGTGGTAAGGAATCTGCCTTCCAATGCAGGGGACATGGGTTCGATCCCTGGTGGAGGAACTAAGATCCCACATGCCGTGGTGCAACTAAGCCCACACGCCTCAACTAGAGAGCCTGCATG